GAGAAATTTGGTTTCAATATGTGAACAACCAGAAAGACATTTCTGCCACATTACGGAAAACAGTTTCAGAAGTAAAAGCTGCAAGATGTGACTGCAATTGAGAGAGCGCAAATCGATTTCGAAAATATATTCTGCAATTCGCCTTTCGGAAATAAAAAACCTCTTTCGAAAGGCACTTTACATGCATGGTGTGACTGCTTATGCAAGCCTTTTCGAAATATATTGCAATGCCACGTCTGACAGGCTATTAAGAGGATCAGAGCTATTTTATGCTGTGCCAGCGCCGGTCATAGATACGAATCTACTGCGAATCAATAACATATTCTTGCTAACCCAATATTCCAAACCTTATGCCAGAGTTAAGGAATATATGGTTTTCCGAGGGCGGCATTTTAACTAAATTGAACATTCTCTGCAGAAAAGTAGAGAAAAGAGCAGTAAAAAGCTTATAAATTTATCAAGAAAACCTATAACACAATTTTACTGTTCTACACTGTTTTGTTTTTTTGTTGTTGTTGTTGTTTTTAAAANATTGCAAATTATTTGCAATACACAAACAAAATACACGCATTTGCATTTGTCATGGCTTGGCAAATTTGCAATACCGAAAATCCATAGCATAAAAATGCTATGCATTGCATTCATAAACAAAACCAAAGCTGATGCACAAAAATTGTTTTGCAAAAGCTTTGCCATGACAGTTTAATAAAGGTCGCTCACAATCCATGGCATATTTCTGCAATTGCATAAATTTGTCAGCTCTTATACACCGAATCGCGAATAGCCCTAATGTCTTTTCCGAAGTCCATTAGTGTAAGAGAAAACTTGGAAAACGAAGATATTTGTCATGCATGCTAGTGTACCTTTTAATACTTTTCTAAACATCTCACTTCCAGCGCTAATCAACCAATCTTTATGAAAAAAGTTGGCTATAAATCTTCCTCAAATGCTAACTCAAATGTTAACCCTTTTGCTACCCTAAAATTATTTTGTGACCTTTACAAAAGAGAAGCGCTTAGTAACAACCTTTAAACAATTGATAAAGGCAAGAAACAATTCATTTTCTAGCCACCTAAAAAAATATTATATGTTTTCTTTGTTTCATGCATTTTAGGACACTAAAAGCTTTAAATTTATTTACTTAGTTTTATTAGCCCTAAATTGCCTTTTTGTCCTTCAATTGATTGGAAAAAAATTAATCTTTTGTTTGCTTAAAGTTACCCAATTCGCTTAAAAGCATTCGTCAAACTTAAGAAACGTGGAAGTAGGAAGTAGGTATAGCTAGGTAACTGGCAAAAAATATTACCGACTACTACTACAAGTACTAAGTAATATACGAAAGTATGCCCGTAGTGTGGAAATTCGAGTGCGAATTCTTGTATGCTTTGATTTTTTTTTTTGTTATTTTAATGGTTTGTAGTAAAAGTTTATAATAAGCATGGCAAACAAAATACTTTGCGCATATGTCCTTCTATGTATGTATGGTTGGTAAAAGTTTGTGTACTTTTAAGCGACGTTTTTTTCTTTGCGTGACTAAATACGAGCTTATACACTTCAGTGCTTATGTGTTTGTATGTACATATTTAATTTTTTAGCATACAAACTTTTAAAAATGTTTGTATGGAAAAACTTAACAAGGAATTTTTAAGTCTCTGCTAGACTAATTGGCGGAAAAAACATAAACATGCAAAAAATAATAAAAAAGTATAAAACTTTTTGCTTATTTGATTTACTTGATTGATCAGCAAGCTCTTGTTTAGCACTTCCAACTGAATTCCCCGAAAATGCTTGAAATTCAAGCTATCTAATTCCAAATAAAAAACACTTGGCGCTCACATTTTTATTAATTGTTTGGATCAGGGTCTCCTTCAATTTGTGTGTGTGTGTGGATCTAGTAATTAGTACGCAATGGGAAGGCGTACCAGTTTTCACGGAATTATTGTAACCGTAGGTTTGATAATTTCCGCTAAAGTGCGGCCGCTTTTAGAAAAACACCTTTTTATGAATGTTGCTTCCAAACAGGAGTCGAAAATGGTTTCTACCACCATTTATCGGCTTAGGTCGATAACTAAAAACTTTCTCTAGTTGCCTCTCTTTGCGAAGTTACGTCAGTTCCCTGTGCCAATTTTAGACCGGACCCGTACTTCTGTTCTTGGTTCTTCCATAATGCACGCGAGCAGGCTTCTTTCCGTTGTCCATCCCTATGTATCGAATTAAAAACAGCTTTTACCGGAGCGAGGTCAGCGAAATGATTTTATTATTTTGCGCCTGCTTATGTCCATGCCATTCTTCCGTCTTCTTCGGTACCTATCGCCCATCACTAAGCAATGCTGTTGGATTCTAGGACATATTCATATCGAAGTGAAGCCGATGAGATTGCTACAACACAGCCGTAAAATAGGACTTACGAAACAATGACACAATCCTCTGTGTTGCTGCGTGGCGGCATAGACTAAACAGTTAACTCTCTCTTAACAACAAACGAACAGAGGAGCTTTTGATGCTAAGGCAATGCGAAGTAAGAATACTTACCGACGCACATAGTAGTAGTTGTGTACTTTGATAAAAATGTCTTTAACCCTGTGTAGTACTGTTGTTCGTCTCTCAGACCAAGACCAAAAGAGTGCGGTAAGAAGCGCAACAGTAATTGCAATTTATTTGCTTGCGCGTGGTCTGTGAGAATAACAGCGATATTGACGTAATTATTTTTCGATTGTTTTTTAATGTCTCCTACATATCGAATGATATCTTTCAGAGAATTTGGCAGAAATTTCGTGTACTACTAATACTTTTTAATAATTGCTATAACTTAGAACAAAATTTATTGTAAATATTTAAAATGTTTGTTTTTATTTTGCTTTATAACGATATAAGAAATTAACGTAGAAAAGCCAAGAAAAAGGCCTTACTAAAAACAATAACCAGTTTATGTCCTTGTGAAAGCTGCCAAATTATACTTGTGTGCATATTTTTACATATTTGTTAAAAAAAGTTATTCTACAGAAAATGAACGTAAAAAAATTAACTTTTATTCATCGAGCAATATTTACGCAAAGTCTAAGTGAGAATTGCGCGTCGCAAACTCGCATCTTGTTTGCCAAACACAAAATTCGTCTGCATAACACCTACCTAAGTAATATATGCGAATACATAATTACAAAAAAACATGTTTTGACATGCAGAAATTAAAAAATCTTGAGTTGACTAAATAGTGATGTGACTTTCCATAAATATTACAACGTGCGACAAAAACAAAAAAAAAATTCAAAACACACAAAGCAAAATATTGACAAAACTAGGGGCCAAATACGGTAAACATGCGTTTTTAGTTTGTCCCTCCGTCATCATTATATTTATGAAAGGACTCTGAATCTTGAGGGATATGAAGAATTCAAAAAATTATTAAAAACGTTCAGTGCGATGTTGGCTACCAAATGAAACAGAAATTCTACTGAATTATAAAAAAAAAAACATACAATTTTTTGACGCGCAGGGACTAATAGGTATTGAAACTGTGGTTCTAAATATTTTTTTTCCTAACTAATAAAGTTAATTTGAATTCATTTTCTCTTTTATTTGACACCCATATTGTTTCTGTATTGCGCTGAATCTTTTAAATATTTTTTTAATTTATTATATCTTGAAATTTCAAAGTCTTAAAAAAAAATCCCGCTGTAAGAAAAAAAATTAAAAACGCTACTTCACTATATTTGGCCCGAATTTTTGTGAGTATATTAATTTTGTTGTGAGAAAAATTGACTGTCTCACGCTGTTATATGGTTATATGTTAGACTACCGGCCAGGAGATGGTCATTTCTAATTTTTTTTTTTACTTTTAACAGCCACAACTTTTAAGAATTGATTGTTACGAAGCTACTGAAAACCACGGACACAATTGTAGTGGAAATAATTTATTTATTAAAATTTTTTTTTGGCGAAAATGCTACAAATGTCGATTACCGAGCATATGAAGGTTGAAATGTGATTAGCCGATATTTCTTATAAACTAAAACTAAATTAACTCACATTTAAAAAAAAGTTCGAAGGTTCTAATTTTTTTTTTAAAGTCAAAAGAATAATATTTTCACGAAAAACAGTTTTTGGACAAACAATCTACATATAGTTTTATTATTTAAAAATATAGTTTGTAGCTATCTGACTTTTTTTAAGTATAGTACTTAAGAGTTAGATCTCTGGTGCATAAATGCATATAGATGCTAAAAGAGTACTTCTTCATTCAAAAGTGGATTTTTGTTTTCTCTTATTACATAGTAGAAATCACACCAAATAATTTTGACCGGCTTTACTATGCAAATACTCTTCTATGTGGCACCACCACAGGAAATTGAGCGATCACTTTAATACTCCAACCGTGGCTTATATCAACAAAGTCTCTCGACAGAAGTTGATGCTTCTTTATCTGCCTCATCCTGACACTGATGTTGGACATTTATAATGGGCAAACTTGCCTTCATGTCGAAGTTTGATAGGCTACGTTCTCGGAATGGCTTAAATTGTCTGTACCAGGGCTCATCGGCTTCGTGGATAACTTCAATGCTGAAGAATGAGCCCTAGGAATGTCAGAAATACATGCATGCATCGAGCTTTTTCCACTCGATGTATAAACGAAGACGGTTTTTGAAAACTGACACCTCTAGTACATAGATCCGTCATTTCAGTTTTTCAATTATGCAAAAAGAGACGTGACTTGGCCAAAAAATTTTAATCGATATACGCCGTCCGATGCATCGAAAAATAACGACCTACAAGGAATCGATGATTTTTTTGTTTTCCACTGACATCCCTAATTAGCCCTGCATATTTTAAATTCTACGACATTTCAGACATTCCCTTATAAACTTAATGTTTTTGTTGTGATGGGCATTATATCTAATACATATGTATGCACTTAAACTATTTATCCTTGATTTCAATAATAAAGAGCTTTATATTAATGTTGTTGTCTCTTATTATTTGATTTTATGTTTATAATCACTTACCCAAAAACGCCGGTATTGCACCCAGCGGCATCACGAACAAGCTGACTAGTAGATCGGCTATCGCTAGCGAGAATAGAAAGTAGTTTGTAACATTTTGTAATTTTTTATCACGCGCCACAGCCAAGCAGACGAGAATGTTGCCAAGACCACCAGCAAATATGAAAAAGATAACACAGAGAAAAATCCATTCATAATCGCGCTGCTTCGACAGCTTATTGCCAAGCGAGTAGTCAACGCTTAGATTGCGTGGCCCCCATAGCGAAGCTAGTGAATCGCTAGGAATTTCAGTTGTAGTGGTGCTTAGTGGGAATGTCGCCGCATTAAGATCTCTTCTGGCAGCGCCGCTTGCATTCGATAGCAAATCAAATGTATTCCACGACCAGAGTGATTCATTATAACCGCCAACAAGCCAACTCTGGTTCAATTGTCCAGCAGTGGCGTTTAGCAGATGAGCGCCCAACTGCGGCAGCCATTCACTCGAAGTCAGTCTGCTACTGTCGCTGGCGCCGCTGTTGCTGCTGCTAGTGACGTTAAGAAAATGCTGCCAAGCGCCACTGAAAGTGTTGTGGCTGAAATCGCTGCTGGCGCTAAAGCTATCAGTCAAGTTGTGCGGCAGCAATTCCTCGTACGCGGCGTCGGATTGCGGCGGTTTATGGTAGGCGGGTGGTTGGTTGATTGAAGCGGTTATTTGTTCGTATTGTATGCGCAGATAGCAAATAAAGTTGTCTAAGATGGAAGCATTGCTGTTGCTGGAAGCAAAATCGGCTTTGCCCGCACTGGCGGCGGTGACGTTAAACACACTTTCTGCTGCTGTGTTTGTTGTTGTCGAAGCCGCTGCTTGCATGCCACTCTCGAATATGCTGGCGACTGTCGTTGACTGATCACAGTACAGCGTTTGACTTTGTACTACGTTGCAGGCTGTAGTTGTTGTCTCACTTATATTAATACTATTAACTAAATGACGAAGAGGATCATCTTTTAATTGCTGTTGTTGCTGCAAAGCGCCAAATTAAAATCGGCCACCGGTTGCTGCAACTGTTGCACTATCACTTCTGTATTCATTACGCAATCGGCGCCTTTCGCAGCCGAGGCACCCGTAACAGCTGGGATGCACCATCGCTTCGGACACTGCCTCCGCCAATGCGTCATCAATATCGTTTTTCTCCACTTCTGCTGGCACCTCGGTACTGCCCGTTGCAATCGCTTGACATTTGTAGCGTGCCCTACGCAATGCCACATCGAATTTGCTAAGCACGCAGCGGTATGTTTGACTGAGTGCGAATGGCGCAGTTGTGAGGGGCGGGTTTATGTTGGTGGCGTAATTTGCGGAGTTTGTTGCCTCCGCACTTTGTGCTCCAGCAAAGCTGCTGTTGCCCACATAGCTACCGCTCACTGGTTTTGTCGCTGTTATTTGCTTTTGGCTGGCACCAAATATCAGCTTCCCAGAGCTGCGTCCAGGCGATACTTGCCAACCGGCAACTATATGGGTGGATGATATTAGCATTTGTTGTTGTGTTGTTTGTTGTCCATGACCGATTGATTGTTGCACATCCATTTCATTATAAAGCTGTGCGGCGAGAGCTCTGTATGGTGTCTGCTCTCACTTCGTTGCCCTGATGGGTGGCAAAAGTGATAGAGTTCTCATTCTATTTGGTGCGTTTTAACTGCAGTGAAAACCCGCAGTAATCTGCAAAGAAGAAGATAAGACATACATATAGTAAGATATATATGTAGATGAACGGAACACTTTTAATGAAATGTAAGTACACGGATAGAACTTTTTTGCTTTAGAACAAATATTAAAATAAACTAGTGAAACCGCATGGCGTTAAAACGCCCAAAAATGAATTTCGAGAACTCATTTTTGAAATTCCTTTTCAAGAGTTTTCTCAAACTAAAATCTACTTAAATCTTAAACTGATTAACTAATTAGAACTTGATTGTTCGAACAAATGGCAACCCTCCTAAATAAAGGCCAGGAATAAAGCAATTTCAAACACATTTCGATTTATGCCCATCTTTTTTTTAAATAATTCAACCAACTTATAGAATAATGTGGCAACCCTCTTCAAACTTTTTAAATGTTCAAAGTAAAGATTTCTTAACATTCTTTCGTTTGACTACGGTATTTCTATATTTTATAAACTTTTTGAATTAGTTAATTGAGTTAGACCTTTCAAACAGGTGGCAGCCCTCTTCAAAAGTATTTTCAAGCTTAATCCTTGTTAACTCTCCTTCGCCGCACACTACGATACACATTTTAATTAACAGATTAAGTGGAATTTTATTTGTCAAACATGTGGCAACCCCGATATATAAATTTCAGAAATAACAAGTTCTCAAACCCCCTTCGATTGATACCCACTTTTTTTTTTAATTCAAAGGAAAAAATACCTTTTTTTATAAAAAAAAATATTTTAAACAAAAAAATTACTAACCCTAACTAATTTAATAGAAAAACCTGAAAGAAAAAAATATGTTTTTTATAAAAAAATTACAAGAAAATAACTAAGCGATTTTTAAAAATTTGGTGTCGTTGTAAAGGCGATTAAACCACTTTTCTCCTGTTAAGCATATTTGTATACTTCGCATATAAAAATTTGAGAAAAAACACTTGACAGCAAAAAATACCTTTTTTTATAAAAAAGTATTTTAAACAAAAAAATTACAAACCGATTTAGAAAAATTAGTATCGTTGTAAAAGATACCAGAAAACTTACGCTTTCTTAAACCCAAAACTTTCTATTTGTACAAAAAAAAATTAATTGAAAACAGTTTTTCCCTCTATATAAACTCCTAAACTAACTAAATTTTACCTTTTAATGATTATTGTTATTTTACAATGCACCGAATTCTATGAATAGTTTTTTTATTCAATCATATTCTAGAAATTTCAAGTCCTTAAACAAAATCCTGACATCAGAGAGAAAACCTAAAAACGCAGTTTTACTATATTATGCCCCAGTTTTGTGCATATATTGACCTTTTCGTGTGTAAAATTGACTGTCGCACGATGTAATAAGACTTTGTTTTCCAAGTTCAAAAACAAGTCTCGATTTTCTTTTTTCTGCTTCGATTTAAGAAAAAAATTCTCTCCGTGTATAAGTACATATGCTCGTTATTCCTTTCGTAGTACAAAATAAATAATTACAGTTATTTGAGTTATATTTACATTGACTCAAACAACTGACCACAATATGATTTTTTAAGTATACACAACATTTTTAAAGTAAAAACTTTTGTGTTATTATTTTGCAAAAATATGCATAGGTTACTTTATATTATTAACCATTGATAAAAAAGTTACAAATTTATAGAAAATTTACATGAAAATGAATGAAGCCGCAATTTTTCTGATAGTCAACAGGAAGTTGTACGAAATTTTCGAACAGGTAGGCCGGAATCTTTACGAAGTCTTTGAAACTCAGATTTTTAACATGAAAACTATTGTGAATATTTAAAAAAAATCACCGTATACTAATTCTGTGGGTGACTGTTATTAATTCATCAAAAACTTGAATTAAAATGGAAAAGTGTAAATAAGTTATTTCTTATCCATATGTTCATACATACATACCTACATGTGCATGTATTTTGTGTTGAACTTCAGTTTTATAAAAAAAAAAAAATTTTTTGAAAGGCAAAGTATGATATAAGTTTGTATACCCGAGCGCACTTGCACACAAGGGTACTATAACCCTCCATATAACGGTAATTTACAGAAATACGAAAACTGCAATAAATCAATAACTAATTGAAGCTAATTGACTACAAGTCGATGATTGTAATAACCACTTAGCAGAAAATTCGATTATTATAAATGTTTGGAAAATGAGCGTGATGCCGCGTCCTTATCACCACAAATGTGTATCGCGATAACCGATTTATCAATTTCTATCAAACTCAGTGCGCTTAATAACCCTGGTAAGGAGAAGCAATTCGCTGAAAATTATTCATATCGGACTAAAATCATCCCCATTTCCCGTATAGCGGTAAATTTGACACATACGAAAGCTACGATATTTCAATGACTGAATACAAAATACTTACAACCATCTCTTGTCAATAAATTTGACTGCTATAAACTTTTAGGAATTGGTCGTGGCACCGCCCACTGTATGACTACAAGGCTTTTATTGATTTCTACCAAACTTGGTTCAATTATTTCATTAAGTCTAACTCAGCATATTAACGAAAACTTTTGAAATCGGGAAAAACAACCCTGCTTATGCAAAGGTAAGTAGTTTAGAGAAAATTGAAATGACGAAATTTCATATCTTTGCCGGGTATATAAAGTTCGATTTCGACCGAACTTATACTTCTTTACTTGTTTTAATTGTGGGTTTCTCGTATTTTTATAATTGTAACTATAACAACAATTTGCAAGTGTACCGGAAAAAAATAAAACTGTTTCTTACTATCCAATTGTTTTCTTTCAATTTTATACCCAAATATCAGTAGTGAATGTACATTTTTATGTAATTAAAAAACAGTAATTTGTTATCAGTACATATTTAAGAAATTTATAAAAGCCTGCATAAGAGTAAGGATGTGAACGAACACTTTCCGACGAAGTGAAATTTGTGAATTTCATATGCATATTTTTAATTAATATAAATATTTGCTCTGAACTGCTGAGAGGAAATGGGTTAATATGTATATGTATGCATATATATGTATATATGTATGGCGACATATGCAAGTATAATCAACGCAACTGCTGAGAAATAAGATGGTAGTTTAAGAGAACATAAAAATCGTTTAGGTGCCAGCCCGCTGAGAGACATTTATTATTATAGTCGAGTATGTTTTTGAACAAAATTTGAATACATTACTTTCGCACTAACCATTTCGTAACTGTCTCTGAACGACGACAAAATGAATAGAGAGTGGATTAGTTGGGGCCAGTGATCGGACTAAAAATAAATTCTATGTTATAGAATATGGAAAAAACGTGGTAGATTTCGAAAAAAAGTGGAAGATTACAGTTCTTGCATAGCTTATTATTTATTTATCTCTTTTTATGTATTACAAAACAGAAATTATAATAAGCATTCATAGCGTCGAACAAATTAATTGGGTCGCGTACAAGTTTTAACTAGTTTTATTTGTTTGTTGAAGTTTATTAATTTTTTATAAAAGTTTAGCTCATTATTTAAAAAACCATATTTATCCGGTTTTCAAACTTTATGCAAACATTTTTTGTACATACTTTGAGAGATATCTACAACCTTGCAGAGTGCTGCAAGCTTTTCTTTTTATCACTTAGTGTTTTGTATTGGACAATTTGTCCCTTATGAAATTAAANGCGAATATGTGGTAGATTTCAAACCTTGTGTGGCAGATGTGGTTGATGCAGATTATTGGCTCCTTAACTGTCGAAAATGGAACCAATACAGAATGTTTTGAAAAGTTCTGCAGAATGCTTTGATGATATCCACTTTGCGGGGCAGTTTAAAGCATTCCATTGCGATAGATCGTCACCCAGTATCGTCATATTTTGAGTTTGCTTGGCAATAGTTGTCGACTAGCCATTTTCGCTGCTGGGTTCTTACTACATAAGTACTTAAGCAGGCTCCAGAACGCACACTCGTATTTATGTGATAACATATGTAATATATGCACATACGTGTACTCAATGATTGCATTAATGCAGTAGGAAATCATCCTATTCATATCCGTTTTAATTTGTGCTTTCACTATTTTCAGTCTATTTTTTCCTTTTCCATTTTTAATTCCTCATGTTGACTTTTTCATAAATGTTTGTGTTGATAAAAACCAAGAAAAAAACGTTTGTAAGTGAGAGTACATGAGTGTGCACTAGGGTTAATCGAACACCAAAACCGGGTTTTGAGTTAGTCGAAAAATTTTAATTTGAAAAAAAAAAAAACGGTTCTCGGTTTTGAAATTAAAAAAAGCACAGATAAAAAGGTTTTATTTTTCGCAGTTTTTATATAGTGAAAGATATGTTGCTAATGATAAGTAATATAATCATTACCTAATGATAGCTTTGAAAAGAGCAAAGCAAAATAAGTTCAAAGGTTTTTTTAGAGCAAAAGTCAAACAAATAAAAATCAGTGCAAAATTCTCGTTTGGTCTTATTTTTACTTTTTTTTTTAAATAATTTTTTAAATAATTTTGTCTTTTTTCTGTGATTAGAGTGAGCTTAACGCCACTCGGGAGGTCCGTAGTAAAATATCTGGTCCCAGCAACATCAAACAAAGGTTGTTGCAAATAGCGGTCGCCCCTCGTCTGACAATGGAAAACATCAAGAAGCAGAACACGAATTGGAGGAGAAGCTCGGCTAAATGCATGGAAAACGTTTAAGCGCCAAACATTAATTTATTGGGATGAAGTAAGATGATCATCCCCAATAACTAAGGATATGCTTTTAGAACTATTTAGGGGTTTCCTTTAAACTGGAAAAAGCTTTGAAAACTTCGAAAAACTTAAAACTTTTACTAAGAGGTCAAGATTTGTATGAAATGCAAAATAACGGCATGTTCGATGAGAAAATCTTGTTTATTCA